TAGTTTGAATATCTTTTGCTCATAAAAAGTATTTCGAGATTCATGTTCCTTCTTTCAGTTCAAAATGATCTCTTGAACTCATAACTCATGAGATCCTTTTGATGAATGCCAACTTAGTATCGTAAGGAAATTGATCTCGGTTAGTATCGTAAGGAAATCAACTAAGTATCGTAAGGAAATTGATCCCGGTTGTTCAATCATTTGATAACCAGAGTCATTCTTTGATAAATGTTTCACTATGAGTCAGACTCAATAGAATTTGATCAATCTTTTTTTCTATCATTAAGGTGGAGAACTGAACCAGGAATTCTCTTTTCTCATCATCAAACCAATCACCGTTCATTTTTTTTTCTTTTTATCATCAATGAATAAATCTTGTTTACTTGTACGGCTTAGATGTTTCTAAAAAAAATTATTCGATTGATCTTTCAATATTTTTTCTTAGAACGTATTGATTTCACCACGATCCACCACCTAATAACATGTTGCCACCAGCAAAACCCCTTCTTTCTTCGAGAGAATCTCCTAATTGTTCCAGAACAACAAGAAAGGATTTATTTCAGATGTAAGATATATTTCTAGAAGTTCACAAAATTTCATCATGTATGATGGAATCATCAAAGATTTGATCTTGTCTCACTCTGTCTGTCACTCACTAGAGGCTCGGGAAACAAATAGAAGATGTATACGAACGAGATGTCCAACAACAAAAAGAAGAAAAGATGGAATAGAGTAACTCCCGAGCATCTGTTGATCTCAGATGTACTCATATCAATGGAACGGGTGACTCATTACTTCGATAATCTTCGATAGAAGAAGATTCTGTCAACATTGACTCTAAATCTCACTTATCAGAGTCCATTGTGGAAGAATCTTCTGAGGAATTGGCCATGATATATCTGATTCATGCATCATATCATTAAATACAAATTTTTTTACTACTACTTAGTATCGGCATCGACAATGGGTCTGAAAGAGTATTTAAAAGGGTGAATTAGAGATATTTGAATTAGTTGTTCAATAAGGGGAAAACATTAACTATTCGCTCTCTGGTTGGGGTAAAAAATTTGCGTACATAAGACGTACGCAGAGCTGCGTATGTCTGTAACCTGCAAACAGGTTATAAGGAGAATTTTAGGAGGTTATAACTTCTAGTAAGTTCCGCGCTTCTGTTTTGATATACAGGTAGGTTACAGGGAGGTTACAGAGGGTATAACGCAGTTATGTATAACGCACAGAGGGTATAACGCAGTTATAACCTCCTAAAATCCTCCCTATAACCTGTTTGCAGGTTACAGACGTACACAGCTCTGCGTACGTCTTTTGTACGCAAATTTTTTCCCTGGTTGGGATGTAAGGGTTGAAGAAGGACAATCACTCATTCTCAAAACCATCATTCTGAAGACCAAAAGTCGTGCAGAAAAGGGAGTGAATGATGGAGTTATTGATGAAGTATAAATAATAATAATAATAATACTATTATTATAATATTCATCTTGAAATTGTCTATTTACAATGAAAAGGCGGCAAATGCATCATTTTTTTCATAGAAAAAATTAATTATAACTAATAAAATATTAAAAAAAAAAGTTACTAATAGTTCAATACAATAAAATAAAAATAAAAATGGGACATTTACATGCCACCTAATTCTTATATATTTACAAATCAATAAGGTGTTAAATATGTAAATATATAGGAATTAAGTGGCATGTATGTAGATATTTCAAATAAAAAACACAACTAAAAGTTAAGAGCAGTTGGGTGAAATGGCAACGGGAAACCCTCCATATGGACCCCCAAGGAAGAGAAGTCGCCTTTCATAATATTTATATATTTATATTTATTTTATTTATTTATAATTTTATTAAATTTTATTTTATTTACTTGTTTATTTTTATTTTTTAAAAAATAAATTGATTAAATTAATTTTTAATAATAATAAAAATTGGTCCACTGAGAATAAATTAATGAATTTTCTGTTGCTAAGTGGGCATGGCTTGTCGGTATGTTAGGCTTCTCTCACTTGTCACTGTGGGCATTGTGTCTTTTTTTTTTTTTTAATAATTATTGATTTTGAATTAATTAATTTTAAAATATTTACATGGATGCCACTCAATTCTTATATATTTATAACATATCTGACAACTAAATTTCAATATTTAACGGCATATCAGCTTAATTTTGCATAAAAATATATTTCATTTTAAATGACAGTATTTTTTATGAGATATGAAAGATTTCAATGAATTAAAAATTAAAACTAATGTTTTGGCTTTGCAAGTGAGCCACAGCGGCCGTCGTTGATCGCCCACCACCCACCGCTGCCGGCAGACGCCCGCAGCCTGCCACTGCTGGCCTTCACTAGCTGCAGTCGCCACCCTGCACCACCGTCTGCTTGGGCACATGTAATGTTTCGTGTCCGGCGAAGCAAGGAATATGTCATATACGTCATGGGCGACATAGCTTAATACTGGAGCACGTGTGATTTTTTATTTTCGGTTTTTATTTACTTTTTATTAAACCGAATGAATCAAAAATCAAACTTTCTAGATAAATTTTCCTTAAAATGTTAAGGAATAAATTTTCTTATGATCAACATTGCATAATCCTCGTCCAGTGATTTTCTTTTTCTCGTGTTATCATCATATTTGTATAAAATCATATTTTGGTTTATGTAAAATTGAACTGCTTAAACTGAATTAAACTTCGATCTGACTAGTTTGGTTTAATCAAAATTATGTTTGGCTCGGTAGTTTGGATTTGCCCAATTTGATAACCAAACCATCTAAACTGACTCAATGCTCACACCTAATAGCTTTCACAACGGACTATTGCATCTACAATAATAGGTTGCGACCCTTATAGTTTGGTATTGCCAATAACTACTTTCATTACAAACCATCCTACGATTATTATTGATGAATTGCTGTTATACATTTGCAATGATCAAATTTGTAACTCCGTATTTCCTAATTTAGAAAAATAGATGATTCGTGCACTTAACTTTAATGCTATATTATTTAAAATGGGTTTGTCCACGTGATTTTCCCTCATTCTAAGATTTTTCGTGTAAAAATTTATATTTCTCTTTCTTACATCTCTTTCATCACCTAGTTGTATGCTAGATCTTCGTGCAATGCTAAGACATTACTCTACCACCGTGTACATTCCAACATTCATAAATAATATATCTTCAAATGAGTAAGAATATTTAAATTAAAATTTTCTAATTTTAACAGTCATCAATATTGTGCATTAAAATAATCCTATAAGTTTAAGAAGCTGTCGCGTGGCATTGACTATTAAAATTCAAGCAAAAATGTGGATTTTTAAAAATTCAAACGAAAGATACGACCTTTTTGTTTTAATTAAACAATCTTAACTAAATCATCTCACATTATTTTTTAATAGATATATATCATCTCACATTATATATATATATAGACACAAGTGTGTGTCTGTGTGCACGCGTGCTTGCGTATACTGTGACATTTTGATAGGCCAGCCTCTCTGAAGGTCGTAAGTTCTCTCAAGTCATAAGTTCGAATCCTCCCGTGTGTAGGGTACAATAATCGAATATTTGGCACACCTAAGAATGGTCGGGGCTCGTCTAATAGTTTTCAGTCATTCATTTATGAATATAAATAGGTATTTAAGCCTATATTGCCAAAATTTTGAGGTGTGTGCCTATCGGATCCTACTTCACGCAAGTTGTCTTGATTTGTAATTTTGAGAAGAATTGACCTGAGTTAATTCTTGTAAATGAGAAAATCTTTCAAATGAAGAGCGAACGTAGCTCTGCATGCAGACTCCAATAATATGTCCCCATGCATGCAACACTAAACCTACCTTATAAAATATTAAAAACATGAATTTTTTTTACTGGGGTTATTGAAGTGGAAGCGCAAATATTATTGGAGTGGTATTAGGGGTTATTGAGACGTTATTTGAGTTAATACCCAATAACACCGAAATGATACGCTATTAACTCCGAAATAACACCGAATTTGATAGATTTGTATTGAATTTAGAGTTATTTTGAGATCATTAAGGTATCATTTTGGTGTTAACTCCAATAACACCATAATAACCCCCCAATAACTTTTTTGATTCCACTTCAACAACCCCCGCAATAAACCTCTAATAACCACTCAATAACTTCCGTCGTTTCACTTCAATAACCATCTGCAATAATCCCTTAATAACCTCGTCGGTTTTACTTCAATAACCTCATGTAATAACCTCTCAATAACCCCCAATAACCCCTATATAATTTTTGTGGTTCAATTTCAATAACCCCCGTAAAAGAAGCCATGTTTTTAATATTTTACGAGGTAGGCCCATTGTAGCACACGTGATAGCATATTACTGGAATCCGCACGCAAACCTGTATCTGCACTCCTTATGGAAAATTTTTCCTTTGTAAAGACGACTAACTTGTAGCATCAGACTTCTAGTTTTAGGCCACTTTCTTATCTCCGAAAATCCACTCATGACTACTCAACCATTAGTCACCCGACTCTGCCCACTCGGTTTGGGCCAGTGAGTCATAATTGCTCAGTCTCGAGCACCTCATTTTTCAGACTATTGGTAGATCAACAACCGCACAATCACTTTTTTTTATTGATCATAAAAAATTAATGCAAATTTAAACCATACAAAAGTTCTCATAATTTTCATTTATTTATTTATTTTGTGACTTTTGAATTTATTAAAATGTAAAATTATAAAATTCATTAGAGCCAAAATCTGGCCGGACACTGATTTAATTTTTCACCTTCGGAATCTGCCGTTTCGTCCTAACTGATCAGGGTGCCAAATTACAATTACCCGCACTGCCCTTTCCACGACCAAGTCACCGACTCACCATGCATACTTCTGACAGCATTTCAAAACAAGCTCAAGGGTAATTACGACATTTCAATTTTATTTTATTTTAAAAGTTTTCAAATCGACCGTTCACCGACCGTCCGATCCCTCACATCGACGGCACCACCGGACCAAGAAATAATAGTTTTGGAGGGAAGCAACACCAGCCGTCCGATCCTCCGTGAGTCTATATATATCAACCGTCTAGGGTTTATCCCCAAGTAAAACCGTCCCACTGGTTTTCTCTCGTTCCCGCCGGTGATCGCCGGTGAGCTCACATGGAGTCTGACTCGAGTTTTTATTCGTTTTCACTTATTCTCTGTTCTCCAGTATTGGTGATCTTCGACCTTTATTTTTCTGATTTGCTAATCGTTGCTCTTTTTCCATGTAGAATCTGAAGAAGGGGTGAAAAAAGAGGAGAGATATGAGAGAAATCCTTCACGTGCAGGGTGGGCAATGTGGCAACCAGATTGGATCTAAGTTCTGGGAGGTGGTGTGCGATGAGCATGGAATAGATCCGACCGGGAGGTACACCGGGTCGATGGATCTGCAGCTGGAGAGAGTTAACGTATATTATAATGAAGCCTCTTGTGGAAGATTTGTTCCTAGGGCTGTTCTGATGGATTTGGAGCCGGGAACCATGGATAGTGTCAGGACTGGACCTTATGGTCAGATATTTCGCCCTGACAATTTCGTGTTCGGGCAGTCTGGTGCGGGAAACAACTGGGCCAAGGGACATTACACTGAGGGCGCTGAACTTATAGATTCTGTTCTTGATGTGGTGAGGAAGGAGGCCGAAAACTGCGACTGTCTTCAAGGTATGCTTTTACGCTGTGTTGGAATATGTTTATGACTAGATCTGACTTTGGAACTCAAATTCTGGGTAACTGGTGGCGCTTGTCAAGTCTGCATAGTTTCTCGATCCGTCATTGATATTTTTTTTTCTTTTTGTTGTGTAGTGATTTGTCTTCTGTTTTTACTCTTTTGCTAGAGATCTGAACTATATTTGTTTTTCTATACTTTTTAATTTGCTGGCAACGAAACTCCGTTGTATTTACTCAGAAATTCGTCTGGTGTGAGTTGTTTATTTAATTTCACTTTCTTCTAGTTCCTTGTTGATTAAAATCTCAATCCAATTCGCTGTTAGCATGTTTGTTGTGATGATCTTGTCTGGTTTTATTAGTCAAGCTTTAGTTTTTGCTTTAAAATTAGATTCTGCCCACCTTGGTGATATTCTTTAAGAGGCTAATCTGGTTGCAAGTGGGATGTAGTTCGAATATAGTTTAATATATCCTGTAAATCCAGATTTATCAGATTCTGAGGGGATTGAATCCTGCAAACTGTTTAGTACGTTAGTAAGAAAATCCTGATAAATCCCTAGAAACTGATTCTCAATTTTAGTAGGGTTCAGTAAGGTTTAGGTGGGTGAAAGTGTTAGAAACATCTCTATTCCAAAAAGATAAATTTCTCATTTTTAAAGCATGCCTTCGTAAACTATTATATGTTTTCAAATGTCTTTAGAAGTTAAAAGATAGATCTAATTATTAGCTCTAATTAAGTTCAATTTTTTAAAAAATAAGTATACTAATTAATAGTTAAAAATTTTAAATTAAATTAATTACTAATAATAATTTTACATCCATTAATAAATAATTAGTTAGTTATTTATTAAACTAATTAATAATTATTAAAAATTGTTAAAATATTTAATTTTAATATGTAATTCATTTTATTAATTAAAGATTAAATGATTTTATATAAATTTTTTTAATTATGGTTATTTTGATAACATATTAATTAATTATTAGCTATAGTCAATTAAAGGAGTTAAAACTTTAATATTGCATAGTAATGGCTTAATTGTTAAATCTAGTTAAATTTAACTTAAAATTTTATATAATTATACCGATCAATAACTAAATATTTATTACATAGTTAATTACTGATAATAATTTTATTAAAACATGTGTATTAAATAATAATTTCCATCCATTAATTAATAATTAGTTAGTCATTATTAAGTTAATTGAGAATGTTTGAAATTTATTAAAATATTTAATTTATTTGTTAATTAAAACTAAATAATTATATTTAAATCTATTTTAATTATGTTTAGTTTGATAACATATTAATTAATTATTTATCAATCAAATTAACTTATATTAAAGCAAATTAAAGCCTTGAAACCATTTCCCCCTCACCCTCCCTACCCAAAAACTTTGCGGAAGTCTCTACCGGTTTGGTCCAAAACCATTGCCTTCCTGACCGAAAGCTCACCATACAAGTTGCGGTTAGAGCCGGGAATGTCAAATTGGGACTACAATTTACAACCTGCAAAGACCTCCAAAACTTCCATCTTTCTCCTCCTATTCCGCCCCTTCTGGGGGATTTAAGAACCTGTAGAATTTACGAAAGCATTTTTTTTTGTTTGGCAGTATTTAGCATAAATCATGCGTAAAATCGGCTACCAAACAGCTCCTAAACTTTGCTTGACTTTGTTTTTGTGAGTTTATATTTAATTTTCTGTTTGCCTAATCTCCTAATATATAATTTTGTTATGGTTGATTTAGGTTTTCAAGTATGTCATTCACTTGGGGGAGGAACTGGATCTGGGATGGGTACTCTCTTGATTTCTAAAATCAGGGAGGAGTATCCTGATAGGATGATGCTCACCTTCTCCGTCTTCCCATCCCCTAAGGTTTCAGATACAGTTGTGGAGCCCTATAATGCAACTCTCTCCGTGCATCAGCTGGTAGAGAACGCTGATGAGTGCATGGTTCTCGACAATGAAGCCCTCTACGATATCTGTTTCCGTACTCTCAAGTTGACTACTCCTAGCTGTAAGTTTCTTTGGTTTGCAACATTTACATTTTGTCATCAAATTTTACAACTTTTTTCTGCTATAATGAAATGAAACATTCATCAGTCTTATGTATTTATATATCTGCCACCCAAGATTTAATTTTTACATTCATATCACATAAAAAATACCACTATTTTATCTTTTAAAAAGTAAAATACACATTTTAATGCATGGATAAGATGACATATACATGTAAAGATTGAAGTTTAGGTTTTTTATATGTAAATAAGTAAGAATCTAGTGGTATTCATGTAAATTCTCCCTTGCTTATTATACAATGGGGGATTTATTCGGGCAGATTTTATATATTATGGGTGTTATGATCCATTTGGCAGCGTTTTTTGGCTACAATATTTTTCCTTACAAAAATGGTGCAACCTCTCCAAACAGACCCCAAGTCAAACAATACGTCTTTCAATAAACTTGGAATTGAATATTGTAAGTGTTTGTAAGGGTCATTTACGTACATACCACCAAATTCGTATGCATTTACATAACGAGCGCCTAAATTTAACTTTTTTACATTCATACCGGCTGAATCTTTAATATCAAGTCAAATAATACCCCACCATTTTAACTCTCAAGAAGTGAAATACATCTTTTTCATGTATAGGTACGGTGGTTTGTATCTAAAAATTGAAGTTTGAGGTGTTAGATATTTAAATACATAGGAATTGAATGGCATGTACGTAAATTTTCGATATTTAATGTAGTTTTATTTGAATTTATCAACTTTTTTATACTACATAGGATTCCTGTTATGATTATTTTTCAGATTGTTTGTTATTGGATTTCGCAATCATGTCTCACGTCTTCTTTTCTAATAACAGTCGGTGACCTGAACCACTTGATCTCTGCTACCATGAGTGGAGTTACATGCTGCCTTCGGTTCCCCGGCCAGCTGAACTCCGATCTGCGAAAACTCGCCGTAAACCTAATCCCCTTCCCCCGCCTCCATTTCTTCATGGTCGGCTTTGCCCCACTCACTTCCCGCGGATCTCAGCAGTACCGAGCCCTCACTGTTCCTGAGCTTACCCAACAATTGTGGGATGCAAAGAACATGATGTGTGCTGCCGACCCCCGCCATGGCCGATACCTCACAGCCTCCGCCATGTTCCGTGGCAAAATGAGCACGAAAGAGGTCGATGAGCAGATGATCAACATCCAGAACAAGAACTCGTCCTACTTTGTCGAGTGGATCCCGAACAATGTGAAGTCGAGCGTGTGTGATATTCCGCCCCGAGGCCTATCCATGGCTTCTACATTCATTGGGAATTCGACGTCGATCCAGGAGATGTTCAGGCGCGTTAGCGAGCAGTTCACCGCCATGTTCAGGAGGAAGGCCTTCTTGCATTGGTATACAGGTGAGGGAATGGATGAGATGGAGTTCACCGAGGCGGAGAGCAACATGAATGATCTCGTGTCGGAGTATCAGCAGTACCAGGACGCCACCGCCGACGACGAGGTGGATTACGAGGACGAAGAGGAAGCACAGCATGATAATTAGTTCTTGGTAACTCTTCTGTGCTGTGGAGGTGATTAGGGTTTTGGGTGTGCTTGATTGTATGTTGTGTTGCTATCTTATTTATTTCTTGTATGCTGAGTGGATGTTTATGATGACTATTATTGTCTTCCTTGAGCTTCTTGAATGTAAGAATTTCTGCTTGTTTTTGGTGTTGAAATATTGAAGGATTTATCCCACTGATAATCTGTGTTGTATCTTTTTTCTTATTATTATTGGGAATAAGCAAAGATGATGATGTTATATATGAGAATCATATAAATGATTCAGCTACTTCCATGGATTAGTAACAAAAATTTAAGGGATTAACATTGAAAACTTTGTAGGGACTTGATTCTATCTTCATTTTGTTATTCTTTTGGCTTCGTTTGAGAATGCAGTTAAGTTTTGATCTGTTTTTTCGCCATTTTAGATCGCATATGACAATGCTTGTTATGCTGAAGTGACTTTTAAAGGAAAATATAAATTGAAGTTTGGATGTTAGATAAACAAATACATAGGAGTTGAGTGCTATGTATGTATGTAAATCATTCTCCATGAGCATGAATTGAATGTTATGTAAATCTTTCTTCTTACATACGATGTTTGGTTTGATCAACAAACCTTAAATTGAAGATAAGATTAAGATAAACAAAAACAATAAAGTTGGCAGATAATGCTACTAATAGCACCTAAATACTATCATCAACACATGAAATTATGTCAGGACTCCTGATGTAATATTTGCTCGTGTGAGAGTGGAGGCTTGGACAAGCATATATGGGAAAAGTGGAGTGAACTTGATTGCCCTTATCAGGAGGGTGGCCATTCAAACTTGGAAACTTATGCTTCATGATTTTCTATGTAAATCATGATGATGCTTTAACTTGATGGCATTCTTTGGTTTAAGATTGATCACATGCATATGAACATATATGATAGTGTTGCATCATATTGTAAACTTTAACTAAGTGGCCGTTTGAGATCACTTTCGATTTTTTTTATTTTTTCATGCTTTTACTTGACATGAAACATATTTGTTATGCTATAATATGGTTATTTTTTAAAAAAACACTAAAAAATAATTTTTTAGGTATTTTGAGTGTTTTAAAACCGAAATAATTTATTTTTAAAAAATAAAAAATAAAAACATACGGAAAATGCACCAAACAAATATATTCTTAAATTTTAAAAAATTAAAAATAAAAAATAAAAAATAACAAAAGTGATTGTAAAGATGCGCTCATATTTTACCTGAGACGATTCTTGAGAGTCTAATATTAACATTAACATGATAGATAAAGTTGTGGGGGCATACCCATGAGGTACCTTAGATGACATAAGGAATCAAAACTCAGCTTAAACTTCACATTTAAAAATTGTTAACTCAAAGAAATGTCTTTACAAAAATACTTATTTACTTCTATTTAGTAATAATGTAATCACCATCACCTTTTCTAGATTTGTATATGATAGCATAAGTAAATAAGGGAGATATCATCATATATTTAGAGCATTTATGATTCATTTCTATTATTTTTTTTCCTTTATTTTTTATACAATTTTTTATCTATGTTTATTTTCTTAATGTACATGATTGCATGATCCAATAGTGAATAAAAATATTAAGTCAGTATCCAATAGTGAGGCGCTATGTGTCAAGTGGGCCCCACTAATTTTAACACTGTCCAATCCAAGTGCCTTACGGTGGGTTCATTTGACACATGACGCCCCACCATTGGATTCCGGATGCAAATTGCGTCCTGAGTCCGGACGTAATTTTCGCTCCTAACTTGCTGCTACATTTTGCTTATTTTAGAAGACAGTACCATTATATATAGGAAATATATAAATGATTCGACTACTCAAGTTAGCAGACAAAAATTGTGAAACATGATAAGCTTCTCAGATGCTTATGACATTATCATTTTGTTATCTTTTATTGTTCACATGAGTTTAAAAATGAATGACCTCCAAAATAGGAAAAAAGATATAGAGACAAAAGATCTTTTGTGTAGAAAAATGTCAAAGATTGTTTCTCTAATTCTGAAAGAAAGATAGACTTACATACCAAGCTAGCACCTAAACTTCATTTTTTTCAATTATACCAACCAAAACTTTCATTTTACATAAAAAAATGCCACTATTTTAATGTTCAAAATGTGAAATACATCTTTCATGCATAAGAATTGCGGTGTATATGTAAACGTTGTAGTTCAGTTGTTAGATATGTATATACATAAGAATGATCAGTGTTTTAAATGTAAATCTTCCTATTTATAAATCGGGGCATTAATGTAAATATCACATAATTCTTTTTATATTTACATATCTATCACCTAAATTTTCATATTTACATGTATACTAGTCAAATCATTTACATTACATAAAAAAATATCACTATTATTAAAAGTGAAATGCAAATTTTTCATGCATGGCTATTTACATTAAAACATTATAAATGTAAATATTAAACTTCAGTTGTCAGATATGTAAATGCACAAGAATTGTGTGGTATTTATGTAAGTTCCCCTTAGAGAAGGATGAGATCGTACGTGTGCATGTGTGAGAGAAGGGGAGAGAGCGAGAGAGAGAGAGAGAGAGAGAGCGAGCGAGCGGTGGTCATTGTGGGTTTAACATGCCATTAGAATCAACATCTCATTAAACAATTGATTGTGCCAATGCAACCAACACATCAAGGAGATGAAGATAAATTAATATTGAAAAGTTATACATCATAATTAATTATATATAATAATACCACATTATTGCAAAAAATATATAATTTATAAGGTAATAAATTTCAATAATATTTTTTTTAATTCGGGCGGTATGTATGCATCTGGACTATTCTAATAGGTGATTAAGAGACTCGTGTTATGACATATCTTAACGTCTTCATGTACGCCCAACAGTTATATAGTCAACAGTGAAAAAAAAGATCAATATATTGACAACCATGACTTTGAGCAATTTTTTTTGCATGGTCACTTTTGTAAGAGAGTGCAACATTTATTTTTGATAGTGTATAATCAAAAATAGTATGCACGGATAGACAATATGATGGTTTAGAATAAAGGGAATATAATACCCTTTATTTTTTTATTTACGATAAGACGGAATATATAAGTTATATATTTTTTTACCTTCTTATCTTATATAAATAGGAGGACTTCATGATCTACAAGAAACCTTTGGGCTCCCACTGTTTGTAACCTCAATTTTTAATGGAATAAAATGACCCTGAGAGACTGAGGACACCCCATTTTCCCCAGTTTGGGGAAGTCTTCCTCCTCCTCCTTTGTCTCTTTCTCCCCCGTTCTTCTTCCCTTGGTTTCACGCTCTATTCCTTATGTACGGTCTGCCAGACAAATCTGAACTCAACAGATAGAGAGATCAATATACTTGGCTCTGAAGAGTTTGCAGGAGCAGAAGAAATGTCCAACCAACAGCTTGTCCAAAGAAAAATACTAATAATAACTAATTTGAAGCAATATAATCTAAAGAGTATCTCTTAAAGGAACCAAATGCATCTCATCATTAACTTTAGGATCATAATTTCTTTATATTTTATTTAATAGGTACAAGTCAAACATGGAGTGGGTGTGTTAATAGTGAGCTCACATGGGAGTCGTTAGCACCCCCTCCCACCTTTTTATTTTATTTAATTATATATTTTTCATTTCCCAAAATTCATACCATATGTTATATTTTGCAATCATAAGGGCAATATTATGTTCCATTTTTGTGTACTAATGTGCCATTGTCTTGACTACTAATTATAAGGCACGATTTTTCGGCCGATCGGACTCATCTTTATTTCTTCAATGTGTAAAGCCCACCAACGAATATATTTTTTTTAATGTAACGTTATATTAAAAAAATTATGAAAAAGTGCACAAACTTGAAAATTGTTATAATGTCGCATCACATTGAAATATTAATGCTAGGATATGCTAATCATATTCGCAATTATTGATGAGCATTGTAATTTCTAAAGATAAATTATGGTTAAAAAAACCAAATTTTATTATTAATTATCTATAATAATAATAACAATAATAGTAATTTATTTGAATTTATTCAACTTCTTCAAAAGTTGGAGAAAAAATTGAGTATGTAAGATGTACGCGGCGCTACGAACGTCAGTAGGTTGCAGGGATGATATTGGGGATTATAACCGCGTTATACCCCTTGTAACCTACAAATATATGAAAACAGAAGCGCGAACAGAAGCCTTACTAGAAGGTACAAGTATGTTACAGGGAGGTTACAGGGGATATAATGCGATTATAACCCATCAATACTCTCCCTATAATCTACTGATGTACACAACATCGTCCGCAAATTTTTTCCCAAAAGTTGAAATAATGATAATCCGGATCTTATCCCTTCTCGCTGAATAACGGCATCCCGAAAAACGGATTCGACAGGGACGACCTGTTAGTGGTCTGTTGGTAATTTACTGAAACTCTGTGGTCATTCCTACACCACCAGAACTCTCAGTACAAAAGCCAGTGAAGCTCCGGGCCCAGAGCTGTCGCGCCAGGCTCCGAAAGCGGCTTTAGATAGTGGTTTGATCGGATTTGGGTGCGAAGGCTGTTAATCAACTGGAATCTCTCCCTCCGACTCCGCGGTCCAATCGATCGATAAGGAAAGGGAGGATATGTGAAGATTTTTTAAAGGAAGGTAGCTAAATCCCCTCCCTGATTTGCGCTCTTTTTAATCTCCCGCATTTTTTGTTTGAATTCATGCGGTGTAGAAGTGATCTGAGGGGCGTTGGTGGAGTGTGTTTTTTGGAGGAATTGGTATGTTGCTTTTGTGTTTGAAGCGACGGTTTTGTGCCAGGCATTGTGTATTTAGTGGAGTTGATGTGTTTGTGTGTGTTCTGTGGAGTTGAAGCGAGGGTTTCTGGTTTTATGGCAGGGGTATGGGTCGTGTTTGTGAAGATTTTGGAGGGATTATAAAATTTGTGTTGTTTGGAGGGAATGGGTGTGGCGGAGATTCGGTTTTTGAAGTGCTTGGTGGTTTGGTTTGTCGATCTATGTTTTTTAAATTTTTTTCTGCTAAAATGCTGGTGCTTTCGGCGTGGTGATAAGAATTTTTGTTTTCATTATGCTAATAATTCCCTATTTGTTTGTTTGTTTCTTCGTTCTTCATCTGCTTTCTTTGCTGCAGTTTTAAAATTGGATCAAATGACGAGGGCGGCTCGTTCCTTTGGAAGCGTGGTGCAGAAGGAGGCGGTTCGATCAGTCTCATCGGGCGTTAACTTTGCATCAACTAGGTTTCCGAAGTATACAATTGGAGCTAATAATGTTCTTATCGAGCCCAAGGAAGATCCCAAAATGCCGTCACTTAAGGAGATTGTTGCCAAGGAAACAGCCCAGCTGCTAGAGCAGCAGCAGCGCCTCTCTGTTCGGGACCTTGCGACCAGATTTGAGAAGGGTCTGGCAACAGCTGCCAAATTATCTAACCAGGTTGTTCCTTCATATATTTTTTTTTGGTTGCTGTAAAATTATTCGCGTACCAAAGAATTCTTATGGATTTACATATCTAACTCCTAAAGTGTGATATTTGCATATAAACCTATGCATAAAAAGATGCATTTGACTGCTAAAAAGTTCGTAAAAATGAAACTTTTGATGTGATGTTAAAAATTTGTGTTATGGATGTAAGTGTTAAAGTTTAGGTGTTAGATATGTAAATACATAAGAATTGTGTGGTATGTATGTACAAGCCCCCTTTTTGTTTTTGCAGCCTATTGTAAGTTTTTTTTTTTAAGCAATGCGTTCTTCTGTAGTTTGTAGATATTTGATACAGAATTCCGCTGACATGAATTCTATGCATTGGTTAACAAGTTCCAAGTTGTGTCAAAATGGTCCCTTGACTTTTCTCATAGGGCTGTTTTAGTCCCAGAGTTCATAAAAGTATCAATATAGTCCCCAAACTTGTTTAATATGAGTTGAATAGTTCCAATTTGGGACTATTTTAGCCCCTATTATTATAGTATGAGGACTAATTTAACACTTTTATAAACTCTAGGACTAAAATGGTCCCATTTAACTAATCAAGGACTATTTTGGCACTTTAGTTTTGAATTCTTATGGATTTTCAGAATGCATTTTCTTTTACTGGGACTGAAATCATCAAAATGCCTGTAACCAAATTGTAATTTTAATCTCAGAATCGGTTAAGAGATGTTGCTTCACTTGACAAGCATGTGCTTTTGAAGAAACTCAGGGATATGTTGGAAATACTAAGGGAACGTGTAGTGGGTCGAAACAAGGATGATGTGGATGAGGCTATTTCTATGGTTTGTTATTTATTTAATTTTAATTCTCATTCATTCATATTTCTTTTTATTTGTAATTTTGTGTTCTCAATCTGGTGTTACTTTTGAAATAAGTAGTTTTAATCTCGTTCTATATGGATATTATTTTAGATGTAGTACTTTCCTTTAGTTTCTGCATATGAACAGTTATTTTTGTGTGTGAATCATTTCTGACATATATTTGCATAAGGGAAATATGTCATTCGCTTTTTATAGGTAGAAGCTCTAGCACTTCAGCTATCCCAGACAGAGGGAGAGTTATTTCTTGAGAAGGAGGAGGTGAAAAAACTAGCAGCTGTTCTGAAGAGGGTAATTCGAAACAATTCTGCTTATAAGCTGATATAAACTTTGCAAGAAAAAATTTTGCTTCCTAAAACATTTATATGATACGTATTGCAATAGCTAAACGACCTTTTTCCTATTACATTTTCTTTCCATTTCAAGTAATTTATTTCCTTGGGATATACTGACTTTATTTTTTGTAAAATAGTCAAACCTTGTTCTTTGATATTCTTATTTATGATTAAAACGGATTCGAATGCACCTACCAAGCATTATTCTTCATATTGCAATCAATTAATCAGGCAATATCTTTTTCTGTTACAACATTTTATTGTTTCACCCTTATTTATAAATGTTCGAAAACTTTTTGTATTAAGAGTGATGTAGAAAAAAAACTGAGATAAAAGGGTGATTTGGTGCAGTAATAGGATATATTGCCTGGAACTGCGAGTCAGTCTCCTTAAATTAACCCAAGAAATAAAACTTCTGCCCTATATGTTCAGCTGAAATTCATTCATATCACAAAAAAGTACAATTCCATAAAAGACACTGGCTTCATATATTTTGGCAGAAGTTTTTAAAACCAAAGGAAATCATCTGATAAATAAAAATATAAAAATTAACTCCCTAACTAATATAATAAGTCATGTTATTTGTTTCCTTATGGTGCAAGAATTCTTGAAGATCTTGACATCTCTCCACGTCAATTTGGTGGATGATGACGAACTCAATCAAAATCTCATGATGATGATTTTTATATATTTAGATCGATGCAAATAAAAATAATTTTAAAATCAAGTTTTTTGTTAAAACAATCCTCATTAATAAATAAGTTAAAATGGTGATGCAATTTCACTCT